TCTCTCTCTCTTCTCTCTCTCTCTTCTTCTCTCTCTCTCTCTCTCTCCTCTCTCTCTCTCTCCTTCTCTTCTCTCTCTCTCTCTCTCTCTCTCTCTTCTCTCTCTCTCTCTCTCTCTCTCTCTCTCTTCTCTCTCTCTCTCTCTCTCTTCTCTCTCTCTCTCTCTCTCTCTCTCTCTCTCTCTCTCTCTCTCTCTCTCCTCTCTCTCTCTCTCTCTCTCTCTCTCTCTCTCTCTCTCTCTCTCTCTCTCTCTCTCTCTCTCTCTCTCTCTCTCTCTCTCTCTCTCTCTCTCTCTCTCTCTCTCTCTCTCTCTCTCTCTCTCTCTCTCTCTCTCTCTCTCTCTCTCTCTCTCTCTCCTCTCTCTCTCTCTCTCTCTCTCTCTCTCTCTCTCTCTCTCTCTCTCTCTCTTTTCTCTTCTCTCTCTCTCTCTCTCTCTCGCTCTCTCTCTCTCTCTCTCTCTTCTCTCTCTCTCTCTTCTCTCTCTATCTCTCTCACTACCTCTATCTATCTACTACTCTCCGTTCCCTTCTCTTTCTCTTCGTTTCATCAGCTAAAGGACCTAGACTTCCGCCTAGCGTTTAATCTCAGCATCCTGCTCGCTGCCTGTTTCTGAAAACCAGTATTGTATTCCACGCTAGGATGCCGCGGGAATCCCTTCGGCGGATTTCAGAGAAGAGGCTTATCAGCTTATCGCACAAGAAGAAATCAAGGAGCACATGAGTAGATCTTGGAAGGCAAAAGGACTATTGTCAAGTGAAGAAAAAATGTTTTATATATTAAAAAATCCTTCATGCACGTTAGATTGAGATAGTGTGGATGCCTCAGTGGAGAGATTGGTGGTTTGCCAAAGGAATTCATGAATCGGGATTTGGGAATGTGGGAGTAATGGTACTCGACTTTCTTCGCGCTTTTTTATGTATTTGTGACAAAATTTCTGCTTTTGCCTGTCTCCTTATTTACAATTTGCGTGGCATGACACTCAAACAGCTGACTCTATATTTCAATTCTTCTTTGTCATGTTACTAAACAGTTTTGCATAATTACCATTCTCGGAAAGTAGGATGACAGTTCCTCCTACATACAAAGCTTATTTGACATCTGAACGTGGAATGTTACTGCCTTGCGTCACACCCACGCACACACACACACACACACACACAGCACACACACACACATCACACAACACACACACACACACACACAACCCACACACACACAGACACACACACACACACAACACACACACACACATCACAAACACAACACACACACAATATACACAACGCATTACTATATATATATATATATTATATATATATATAGTATATATATATAGTAATTATATATATATATTATATATATCTATTATATTATTTATATATTTCATATATATGATATTATATATTATAGTATATATATATATATATATATATATATTTTATATATTAATATGTATTAATATAAGTATGTATTATTTATATATTTAAATATATATATATATTATTAATAATTATATATATTATTTATATATATTACATATTATAATATAATATATATAATATATTATATATATATATATATATTTAATTAATATGTTAATATTTATATATTATTCATATTTATATAATAATTATTACATATATTATATATATATATATATATATATATATTTAATATGTAATATATATACATATATAATATGATTATATATATTACATATGTATATATATTATATATATTATATATATTGTATATATTATATGACATATATTATAACATTATTCTGTATTATATTATATATGTATTATACATATATACTATTAAATATATATATATATAATATATATAATTAATTAAATATATTAACACTTAACTATAATACTATATATATATATATATATATATATTTATTTATATTTATATATATGTATGTATATATATATGTACGTATGTATGTATGTATGTAGTGTATGTAGGTGTATGTACGTGTGTTTGTGTGGTGTGTGTTGTATATATTATATATTATATATACATACATTGATATAAAATATATATACTTAACTATATATATATATATTATACCCTATATATATTAATAAGACACTCACCCACACACACACACACACTATCAACACACACACACAGCACACACACACACTCACACTATCAAACACCCCCACCACACACACACACACACACTACCCACGACCCTCCACAACTTTCTAACACTCAACAATATTATTATAATATTAATTATATATAAAATATTAAGTATATATATAATATTATTTATATATTATATATATGTCATACATTAATACCAAACACACTACACACACACACAGGATATTATATATAATACTATTTATAACTATTTATATACTATACTTATATAGTAGTATTAATATTATTTAATATTATGATATATATATTATATTAATATTTAATAACATTTAATGTTATATATATATACATATTATGGATATA